TGTTGCCCTCCCCGAGGGCTGGCCCCCCCCCCCCCCCCCAAAGTGACTGACTGCTCCCTGCCTGGGGGGCAGGGAGTCTTGCTCGTCTCCAGCCCCGTCTGCCACATGAGCCTGGAGGGGGACGTGCCAGAAGCCCTGAAAGGGACAATTCTTTTTCACTCTTCAGCTACTTAGTTTGCACATGCTCAGGTATCCTGGCCATGTAATTCCTAGACACAATACCATTCTTCCCTCCCTGAGCTTTGAGAGAGGTGACCTGATACAGGAATAGAGACGCCTACCTCTCTCTTTATGGGCCCCACATTGCAGAGTGAGCCTGGTTACAAAACCTATAATGATGCCATTTGTAGCGATCTTACTAAACGGAGTGAAATCTCTGTACACACGTTTAACCGACCAGGTATGTCGCTCAAATGTTAATGTTTAAATATATGGGATGATTTTTTTGCAGGACAACATACTTTGTGTATAGAATAAAAAGTAATCAAATATCTAAGTATGTTATGTACAATTTCAATTAATTGGCTGATTGAATAGTTGATGTGGGTGCCTCTGCCTTTGAAGGTGAAATCGCTGTGGGGAGCACAGGGCCAGTGAGGGACTGCTTGAGTTCCCCGTTGGCCTCCTGTTCCCTGTGGTGTTTCAAAGTGGCAACACTGTATGGAGCCCGGGCTCAGGAGGGGAGTCCCCACTTGATGCTGGGCTGCATTCAGCGTTGCCACTTTGAAGAACCCCCTTTTGCCCCCGCTCTCTTCTGATAGAAGCAGCAGAGTCGAGGGAGCGACAGTCAACTATCCAATGAGCATTTGCTTATCAGGTAGTTGATTAGTTGTTCGCATTCCTAATAAGTATTTCTAGTGGGCTGTTACTGCCAGGCCTACACTAAAGAGGAAGGTTGAATTAATATACCTAACTCCAGCTATGTTAATTACATAGCTGGAGTCAGCATACCTTAATTTGAATTTTCCCGCAGCGAGAGGCTAACAGGAGCAAAGGCTCTTCTTGGTTTGCCTTACTCCAAGCAGGAATACCAGGTGCTGCTGGGAGGAAGGGTGCCCTCTGAGTTTGATTTAGCAGGTCTTTACTAGACCCACTAAGTCAAACTCCAGAAGATAGATTGCTTCAGTATTGATCTTCCCCCTGGAGGAGACATGATCTCAGGCGGGGTTTACTCTAAAGGGGAAGGTTGAATTGAGATATGTAACTCCAGCTACATTAATTGCGTAGCTGGAATTAACGTACCTTAATTCAAGTTTCTCCACTGTCCCCACAGTGGGAGATCAATGAGAGCAAAGGTTCCCATCCACTTCCCTTGCTCCTTGCAAGAGCAGGAGTACCAGCCATGACTGTTTACTAGACCCTCTAAATTGAACTCCAGAAGATAGACTGCAGCAGAGTCAATCTTCCTTGGAGTGAAGACATGGCCTGAGGGAAGTTTCAAATGTAAACACAAAGAATAGTGTGGAGGATCTGAATGGGAAATTATTAAGTACTATGTAGACCAGATGGCTGAAGGATGTGACTATTTGCTACACAGGTATATGTGCCTGCATTAGAGTGCTTATACTGATATAGCATATGGCATATGATTTCTGTGGTTTTGATCATGCCTACCTTACTGATTAATTTATTGCTTTCATTTAGTTTTTTTGCCATTTCTCTAGATACTTATTCCTCATTCATTTCTGTAATATCTGTGCATTCTTTAAGGACTGCTCAGCTATCCCACTGACTATATTTGTGTGAATGCTTTTAAACTAATATACAAATTGGTTGTCATATTTTGCCTATTTTAAAATGTATGCAACATGAAATTAAATGGCATTGCAAACTTCTGTACAGTGAATGACTGAAAATTGCAATACAGGCAGTCCCCGAGTTACGCGGATCCGACTTATGTTGGATTCGCAGTTACGAACGGGGATTTTCTCGCCCTGGAGGACTGGAGCGGCGGGACGCCTGGTCCCACCGCCCGCCTCCTCCGGGGCGAGAAGAGCTGCTCCCCGTCTCACTGGTCTGCTGGGGGAGCCAGCAGACCAGGGAGACGCGGAGCAAAGCGGCGGAGGACCTGTCCCCGAGTTACGCGGATCCGACTTATGTTGGATTCGCAGTTACGAACGGGGATTTTCTCGCCCTGGAGGACTGGAGCGGCGGGACGCCTGGTCCCACCGCCCGCCTCCTCCGGGGCGAGAAGAGCTGCTCCCCGTCTCACTGGTCTGCTGGGGGAGCCAGCAGACCAGGGAGACGCGGAGCAAAGCGGCGGAGGACCTGGGGCCGGACCCGCGGCGCTTTCAGATCAGCTTCCAGATCTGCAGACCAGGGAGACGCTGAGCAAAGCAGCG